ATGGGGCACTATTCCTCCCCCCACGGACACCAATGATGGGGCACTATTCCACACCCCACTGACACCAATGATGGGGCACTATTCAACCCCCCCCCACTAACACCAATGATGGGGCACTATTCCACCCCCCACTGACACCAATGATGGGACACCATTCCTCCCACTGACACCAATGATGGGGCACTATTCCCCCCAATGATGGGGCACTATTCCCCCCACTGATACTAATGATGGGGCACTATTCCTGCCACTGATACTAATGATGGGGCACTATTCCTCCCACTGATACCAATGATGGGGCACTATTTCCCACTGATACTAATGATGGGGCACTATTCCTGCCACTGACACTAATGATGGGGCACTATTCCTCCCACTGATACCAATGATGGGGCACTATTCCTCCCACTGATACCAATGATGGGGCACTATTCCTCCCACTGATACTAATGATGGGGCACTATTCCCGCCACTGATACCAATGATGGGGCGCTATTCCTCCACTGATACTAATGATGGGGCACTATTCCTCCCACTGACACCAATGATGGGGCACTATTCCTCCCACTGATACCAATGATGGGGGACTATTCCTCCCACTGATACCAATGATGGGGCACTATTCCTCCCACTGACACCGATGATGGGGCACTATTCCTCCCACTGGTGTGCATTGGAAGAGGGGTAGTCTTATACGGCAAGTATAGCCCAAAAACTACATTTTAGCAGGAAAAGTAGAGGGTCGTCTTATACGCCGGAAAATACGGTAGATAGATGATAGATAGCAGCACCCACCATTTTATTTACTAGGGTGTCTGCTATAAAAAAAAATATATAATGTTTTTGTCATTTTCCAGAAACTTGTGGAAAAAAAAATAAATCTTCCATGGACACAATATTCCTCTCAGCAGATAGCTTAGGGGTGTCTACTTTCCGAAAAGGGGTCATTTGGGGGTGTTTGTTCTATCCTGGTATTTTAGCACCTCAAGAGATGTGATGGGAAGTCAGAAAGTAAGAGCTGTGTAAATTTCAAATTATCTATACCAGGGGTCCTCAAACTACGGCCCGCGGGCCACATGACCAGAGACTGCGGACACGGTACAGGAGATGACCAGAGACTGCGGACAGTACAGGGGGGATGACCAGAGACTGCAGACATACAACGGCGGTGGGAATACTGGGCGGTGTGGGAATACTGGGCCAGCCGCTCCATAAAATGCACAGACATTTCCCCCAAAGTTTGTCTTATGGAGCGAAATAGTGCCCCATCATTGGTGTCAGTGGGAGGAATAGTGCCCCATCGTTGGTATCAGTGGGAGGAATAGTGCCCCATCGTTGGTGTCAGTGGGAGGAATAGTGCCCCATCGTTGGTGTCAGTGGGAGGAATAGTGCCCCATCATTGGTATCAGTGGGAGGAATAGTGCCCCGTCATTGGTGTCAGTGGGAGGAATAGTGCCCCGTCATTGGTGTCAGTGGGAGGAATAGTGCCCCAGTGGTGTCATTGGTATCAGTGGGAGGAATAGTGTCCCGTCATTGGTGTCAGTGGGAGGAATAGTGCCCCATCATTGGTATCAGTGGGAGGAATAGTGCCCCATCATTGGTATCAGTGGGAGGAATAGTGCCCCAATCATTGGTATCAGTGGGAGGAATAGTGCCCCATCATTGGTATCAGTGGGAGGAATAATAGTATCAGTGGGAGGAATAGTGCCCATCATTGGTATCAGTGGGAGGAATAGTCATTGGTATCAGTGGGAGGAATAGTGCCCCATCATTGGTATCAGTGGGAGGAATAGTGCCCCCTCGTTGGTGTCAGTGGGAGGAATAGTGTCCCGTCATTGGTATCAGTGTAAGGAATAGTGCCCCATCATTGGTGTCAGTGGGAGGAATAGTGCCCCATCGTTGGTGTCAGTGGGAGGAATAGTGTCCCGTCATTGGTATCAGTGTAAGGAATAGTGCCCCATCATTGGTGTCAGTGGGAGGAATAGTGCCCCATCATTGGTGTCAGTGGGAGGAATAGTGCCCTATCATTGGTATCTGTGGGAAGAATAGTGTCCCGTCATTGGTGTCAGTGGGAGGAATAGTGCCCCATCACTGGTATCAGTGGGAAGAATAGTGTCCCGTCATTGGTGTCAGTGGGAGGAATAATGCCCCATCATTGGTGTCAGTGGAAGGAATAGCGCCCCATCATTGGTGTCAGTGGGAGGAATAGTGCCCATCATTGGTATCAGTGGGAGGAATAGTGTCCCATCATTGGTGTCAGTGGGAAGAATAGTGTCCCGTCATTGGTGTCAGTGGGAGGAATAGTGCCCGTCATTGGTATCAGTGGGAGGAATAGTGCCCCATCACTGGTATCAGTGGAATAGTGCCCCATCATTGGTGTCAGTGGGAGGAATAGTGACCCATCATTGGTATTCGTGGGAGGAATAGTGTCCCGTCACTGGTATCAGTGGGAGGAATAGTGACCCATCATTGGTGTCAGTGTGGGGGAATAGTGCCCCATTACTGGTATCAGTGGGAGGAATAGTGCCCCATCATTGTTATCAGTGGGAGGAATAGTGCCCCATCATTGATGTCAGTGGGAGGAATATTGCCCCATCATTGGTGTCAGTGGAGGAATAGTGCCCCATCATTGGTGTCAGTGGAGCAATAGTGCCCCATCATTGGTGTCAGTGGAGCAATAGTGCCCCATCTTTGGTGTCAGTGGGAGGAATAATGAACATCATTAGTATCAGTGACACCAATGATGGGGCACTATTCCTCCCACTGACATCATCAATGACACGTAACTTCCTGACCCCTGCTCCAGCCTAGGTGCTACTGCAGCCAGCATACCTGTTTGTAGCAGCACCATCAGCACGGCACACTTACCTGTCAGCTGTCCTTCACTCCGGACTCTCTCTCACTCGATGTTTGCAGGGCCGCTCGGCTCCGCCTCCTCGCAGGTGATTGGCTTCCTGTGTGCCTTTTCTGAGTTACAGTTCTGGAGCTCAATCACCGGTGAGGAGGCGGAGCCGAGCGGCAGGAGTGAGGGAGTGATTGAAGGAGCAGGGCTTCCTGGACTGGATCGTCGTGGGACTGGGACTGGAGCCAGGTAAGGTACAGCAGCCCCCTGCCCGCCCCTGTACTTAGTGTCCCTTCCTGTCCCGCCCCTGCCGGATAAATGACCTCGGCGGGCCGCATGTGGCCCACAGGACGCAGTTTGAGGACCCCTGATCTATACCATAGTTTGCTTTGTGTGAAAGTTATAGCCGTCTACAATCAATATACACTTGTTGGGATTTTTTATTTAACAAAAACACGGAGCAGAATACATTTTGGCCTAAATTTATGACTTTATATTACGATAATACGATATATTTTTTTATAGCTGAAAGTAGAAAATATTGGATTTTTTTTTTAAATTTTTGTGTTTTGTTTATAGCGCAAAAAATAAAAAGCGCCCGGGTGATCAAATACCACCGAAAGAAAGCTCTATTTGTGTGCAAAAAAGGACGTAAATTTCGTTTGGGTGCAGCGTTGCACGACCGCACAATTATCAGTTGAATTAGTGCAGCGCTGAGTAGAAAAAAGAGGCCTGGTCAGGAAGGGGGGTAAATCCTCAGGAGGGTTAATAAAACATTTTGGTTATAAACGTATTGCACTGAGATTTCCTGAGTCCCCGGACAGGATCTATGGTATGGAGACGTGATGACTACCTGGTGGTAAAGGCGATTCCATCTTGTGCTGATTGGCTGCTTGCAGTATATTGCTCCCAGTTCGGATTCCTTCTGCTGATCATCGCTCCCGGAGGAAACACTATCTGTGCTGATTTATGGAGCTCTGGTGAGTGTTCCCATTTCATTCGGTGGATGTGATTGGCTCGGTGTTGGATTTATACAAGATATCAGACTTTTACACAAAAAAAATTTTATTTTTTCCTATCACGAACATCATTATTTAAAACTAATAATTTTTATATTTACCGTATTTTTCGCTCCATAAGACGCACTTTTTTCCTCCCAAAAAAGGGGGGAAATGTCATGCGTCTTATGGAGTGAATATGGAGCGGCCGGTCCGGTATTTCCACCGCCACCCGTGTCAGAATACCGGGCCGGCCGCTCAGCTCTGCAGCGGGACCTTATGGAGATGACTGCTGACCTTTGGGGAGGGAGGGGGAGCGGGTGCCTGAATGTGACATGTACCCGATCTTACTTCCGCGTTGTTCTTTGACCTTACCTGTTCATCTATCCAGCGCGCTGTCTTCCCGGCTTCTGTAGTGTCAGCGCTTAGCATGACAGCCGGGTGCCAAGTGCGCATGCGCGAGAAGCGGTGCTTTTTGTGAATGGTAAGGCGGTACCTGGGACACATGACAGATCCCAGAAGCCGCCGGACCAATCACAAAGCACAAGTGCTTCTCGTCCATGCGCACTGGGCACCCGGCTGTCATGCCGAGCGCCGACACTACAGAAGCCGGGAAGACAGCGCGCCGCTGGATAGAGGAACAGGTAAGATCAAAGAACAACTCCGCGGAAGAGCGGGTACATGTCAGATTCAGGTACCCCCTCCCCAAAGGTCAGCAGTCATCTCCTGTACTGTGTCCGCAGTCTCTGGTCATCTCCTGTACTATGTCCGCAGTCTCTGGTCATCTCCTGTACTGTGTCCGCAGTCTCTGGTCATCTCCTGTACTGTGTCCGCAGTCTCTGGTCATCTCCTGTACCGTGTCCGCAGTCTCTGGTCATCTCCTGTACCGTGTCCGCAGTCTCTGGTCATCTCCTGTACCGTGTCCGCAGTCTCTGGTCATCTCCTGTACCGTGTCCGCAGTCTCTGGTCATCTCCTGTACCGTGTCCGCAGTCTCTGGTCATCCCCTGTACCGTGTCCGCAGTCTCTGGTCATCTCCTGTACCGTGTCCGCAGTCTCTGGTCATCTCCTGTACCGTGTCCGCAGTCTCTGGTCATCTTCTGCACTGTGTCCGCAGTCTCTGGTCATCTCCTGTACTATGTCCGCAGTCTCTGGTCATCTCCTGTACTATGTCCGCAGTCTCTGGTCATCTCCTGTACTGTGTCCGCAGTCTCTGGTCATCTCCTGTACTGTGTCCGCAGTCTCTGGTCATCTCCTGCACTGTGTCCGCAGTCTCTGGTCATCCCCTGTACTGTGTCCGCAGTCTCTGGTCATCTCCTGTACTATGTCTGCAGTCTCTGGTCATCTCCTGTACTGTGTCCGCAGTCTCTGGTCATCTCTGTACTATGTCCGCAGTCTCTGGTCATCCCCTGTACCGTGTCCGCAGTCTGGTCATCCCCCTGTACCGTGTCCGCAGTCTCTGGTCATCCCCTGTACCGTGTCCGCAGTCTCTGGTCATCCCCTGTACCGTGTCCGCAGTCTCTGGTCATCCCCTGTACCGTGTCCGCAGTCTCTGGTCATCCCCTGTACTGTGTCCGCAGTCTCTGGTCATGCCCCTGTACTGTGTCCGCAGTCTCTGGTCATCCCCTGTACTGTGTCCGCAGTCTCTGGTCATCTCCTGTACTGTGTCCGCAGTCTCTGGTCATCCCCTGTACTGTGTCCGCAGTCCATTAGTTTTTTTTACCTCTAAAACCTAGGTGGGTCTTATAGAGAGAAAAAAAACTTAAATTTAGCGCACGCTTTGATTTATTCACATTTTTACCTTTTTTTGGTTAGGAGTGCAGCTTTTGTTCTATTTATTTTCAGCCGCTTTTTTTTTCCCCTCTATTCCTCATATAAACCCTGTCCCGTGCCTGGCTGCCTACAGTGCAAACCCTGCCCCGTGCCGCTGCCCACATAGAGCAAACCCTGCCCCGTGCCTGGCTGCCCACATAGTGCAAACCCTGCCCCGTGCCTGGCTGCCAAACAGAGAGCAAACCCTGCCCCGTGCCCCGTGCCTGGCTGCCCACATAGAGAAAACCCTACCCCGTGCCTGGCTCGCCCACACATAGCGAAAACCCTGCCCAGTGCCTGGCTGCCCACATAGTGCAAACCCTGCCCCGTGCCTGGCTGCTGCCTACAGTGCCTGGCTGCCCACATAGAGCAAACCCTGCCCCGTGCCTGGCTGCCCACACATAGAGCAAACCCTGCCCCGTGCCTGGCTGCCCACATAGTGCAAACCCTGCCCCGTGCCTGGCTGCCAACAGAGAGCAAACCCTGCCCTGTGCCTGTGCTGGCTGCCACACATAGAAAAAACCCTACCCTGTGCCTGGCTGCCCACATAGAGAAAACCCTACCCTGTGCCTGGCTGCCCACATAGAGAAAACCCTGCCCCGTGCCTGGCTGCCCCCACATAGTGCCCACAAACCCTGCCCCGTGCCTGGCTGCCTACATAGTGCAAACCCTGCCCCGTGCCTGGCTGCCCACATAGTGCAAACCCTGCCCCGTGCCTGGCTGCCCACAGTGCAAACCCTGCCCCGTGCCTGGCTGCCCACATAGAGCAAACCCTGCCCCGTGCCTGGCTGCCCACATAGAGCAAACCCTGCCCCGTGCCTGGCTGCCCACACAGAGAGCAAACCCTGCCCCGTGCCTGGCTGCCCACATAGAAAAACCCTGCAAACCCTGCCCCGTGCCTGGCTGCCCACATAGTGAAAACCCTGCCCCGTGCCTGGCTGCCCAACATAGAGCAAACCCTGCCCCCCTGGCTGCCCCTAGTGCAAACCCTGCCCCGTGCCTGGCTGCCCTAGAGGGCAAACCCTGCCCCCCTGCCCCCATAGTGCCTGGCGTGCCTGGCCCACATAGAAAAAAACCCTACCCCCGTGCCTGGCTGCCCACACATAGCGAAAACCCTGCCCAGTGCCTGGCTGCCCACATAGTGCAAACCCTGCCCCGTGCCTGGCTGCCTACAGTGCAAACCCTGCCCCGTGCCTGGCTGCCCACATAGAGCAAACCCTGCCCCGTGCCTGGCTGCCCACACAGTGCAAACCCTGCCCCGTGCCTGGCTGCCCACATAGTGCAAACCCTGCCCCGTGCCTGGCTGCCAACAGAGAGCAAAACCCTGCCCCTGTGCCTGGCTGCCCACATAGAAAAAACCCTACCCCGTGCCTGGCTGCCCACACATAGCGAAAACCCTGCCCAGTGCCTGGCTGCCCACATAGTGCAAACCCTGCCCCGTGCCTGGCTGCCCACAGTGCAAACCCTGCCCCGTGCCTGGCTGCCCCATAGTGCAAACCCTAGAGCAAACCCTGTGCAAACCCGTGCCTGGCTGCCCACATAGTGCAAACCCTGCCCCGTGCCCCTGCAAACCCTGCCCCGTGCCTGGCTGCCCACATAGAGAAAAAACCCTGCCCTGTGCCTGGCTGCCCACATAGAAAAAACCCTGCCCCGTGCCTGGCTGCCCACATAGAAAACCCCCTGCCCCCGTGCCTGGCTGCCCACATAGTGCAAACCCTGCCCCGTGCCTGGCTGCCAACATAGAAAAAACCCTGCCCTGTGCCTGGCTGCCCACATAGAGAAAACCCTACCCCGTGCCTGGCTCGCCCACCATAGCGAAAACCCTGCCCAGTGCCTGGCTGCCCACATAGTGCAAACCCTGCCCCGTGCCTGGCTGCCCACACAGTGCAAACCCTGCCCCGTGCCTGGCTGCCCACATAGAGCAAACCCTGCCCCGTGCCTGGCTGCCCACATAGTGCAAACCCTGCCCCGTGCCTGGCTGCCAACAGAGAGCAAACCCTGCCCTGTGCCTGGCTGCCAACAGAGAGCAAAAGGAGATAGCTGTGGGGGATGGAGTGGTAGGAAGAGTGGAGGAGGTCGGCAAGTTAGCAGGGGTGGGGTATGCTTCCCTGAATAGATGGGTTTTCAGGGTGCGCCTAAATGAGAGGAGAGT